GCAGCCTATCATTTTCTGTACTTCTTTATATGTTTTTTCCCTCTCCAACATTTTAATCAAGGTACGCTGTTCTTCTGAACAATGTCTGGAATGACCCATTTTTCTCAGAATTTCAGAGAGAAATGCACCATAACCAGCATGTACAACATTTGCTGCCTTCCTTCCTTAAATAAGGGAAATAATTGCCACCTGTTTTTTGAAGAATGAATGACCTCACTAATAGAACTCCACACTGCTATTATTTTGAACATGCCCCTTTCAATTAGTGATTCAATTATACAGAATCAGCAGCATGCATGTCATGACTGTTGGGTCTGTTGGATTTCTATTACTCTACTCCACCTGCTAGTAAATTATTTGCCATGTAGAAATATAATTTCTACCAAAAACAGTGATTGATCAGTTTAGTGATGTCTGACTGCTATTATTTTGAACACAACTGTGTGTATGTGTGTGTGTGTGTGTGTGTATATATATATATATATATATATATATATATATATATATATATATAGATACAGGTGAAACTCGAAAAATTTGAATATTGTGCAAAATTCATTTATTTCAGTAATGCAATTTAAAAGGTGAAACTAATATATAAGATAGACTCAATACATGCAAAGCAAGACAGTTCAAGCCATGATTTGTCATAATTGTGATTATTATGGCTTACAGCTCATGAAAACCCAAAATCCACAATCTCCGAAAATTAGAATATTACATGCAATCAATAAAACAAGGATTGTACATAGAACAATATCGGACCTCTGAAAAGTATAAGCATGCATATGTACTCAGTATTTGGTTTGGGCCCCTTTTGCAGCAATTACTGCCTCAATGCGGCGTGGCATGGAAGCTATCAGCCTGTGGCACTGCTGAGGTGTTATGGAAGACCAGGATGCTTCAATAGCGGCCTTCAGCTCTTCTTCATTGTTCGGTCTCATGTCTCTCATCTTTCTCTTGGCAATGCCCCATAAATTCTCTATGGGGTTCAGGTCAGGCGAGTTTGCTGGCCAATCAAGCTCAGTAATCCCACGGTCATTGAACCAGGTTTTGGTGGTTTTGGCAGTGTGGGCAGGTGCCAAGTCCTGCTGGAAAATGAAGTCAGCATCCCCATAAAGCTCGTCTGCGGAAGGAAGCATGAAGTGCTCCAAAATCTCCTGGTAGATGGCTGTGTTGACCCTAGACTTAATGAAGCACAGTGGACCAACACCAGCAGATGACATGGCTCCACAAATCAACACAGACTGTGGAAGCTTCACACTGGACTTCAAGCATCTTGAAATGTGTGCCTCTCCATTCTTCCTCCATACTCTGGGTCCTTGGTTTCCAAATGAGATGCAAAAGTTGCTCTCATCAGAAAAGAGGACTTTGGACCACTGAGAAACAGACCAGGTCTGTTTTTCTTTAGCCCAGGTAAGACGCTTCTGACATTGTTTGTTGTTCAGGAGCAGCTTGACAAGAGGAATACGACATTTGAAGCCCATGTCCAGGATCCGTCTGTGTGTGGTGGCTCTTGATGCACTGACTCCAGCCTCAGTCCACTCCTTGTGAAAGTTCCCAACACTTTTGAATGGCCTTTTCCCTGACAATCCTCTCCAGGCTGCGGTCATCCCTGCTGCTTGTGCACCTTTTTCTTCCACACTTTTCCCTTCCACATAACTTTCTATTAATGTGCTTTGATACAGCACTTTGGGAACATCCAACTTCTTTTGCAATTACTTTTTGAGGCTTTCCCTCCTTTTGGAGGGTGTCAATGATGGTTTTCTGCACAACTGTCAGGTCAGCAGTCTTTCCCATGATTGTGATTCCTACTGAACCAGACTGAGAGACCATTTAAAGGCTCAGGAACCCTTTGCAGGAGTTATGGCTTAATTAGCTGATTAGAGTGGGACACTTTGAGCCTAGAATATTGCACCTTTTCACAATATTCTAATTTTATGAGATTGTGGATTTGGGGTTTTCATGAGCTGTAAGCCATAATCATCACAATTATGACAAATCACGGCTTGAACTATCTTGCTTTGCATGTAATGAGTCTATCTCATATATTTTCACCTTTTAAATTGCATTACTGAAATAAATAAACTTTTGCACAATATTCAAATTTTTTGAGTTTCACCTGTGTGTGTGTGTGTATATATATATATACAGTGGGGATCGAAAGTTTGGGCACCCCAGCTAAACATTTGTATTAATGTGCATAAAGAAGCCAAGGAAAGATGGAAAAATCTCCAAAAGGCATCAAATTACAGATTAGACATTCTTATAATATGTCAACAAAAGTTAGATTTTATTTCCATCATTTACACTTTCAAAATAACAGAAAACAAAGAAATGGCGTCTGCAAAAGTTTGGGCACCCTGCAGAATTTTATAGCATGCACTGCCCCCTTTGCAAAACTGAGACCTGCCAGTGTCATGGATTGTTCTCAATCATCGTCTGGGAAGACCAGGTTATGTCAATCTCAAAGGTTTTAAATGCCCAGACTCATCTGACCTTGCCCCAACAATCAGCACCATGGGTTCTTCTAAGCAGTTGTCTAGAAAACTGAAACTGAAAATAGTTGACGCTCACAAAGCTGGAGAAGGCTATAAGAAGATAGCAAAGCGTTTTCAGATGTCAATATCCTCTGTTCGGAATGTAATTAAGAAATGGCAGTCATCAGGAACAGTGGAAGTTAAAGCAAGATCTGGAAGACCAAGAAAAATATCAGACAGAACAGCTCGCAGGATTGTGAGAAAAACAATTCAAAACCCACGTTTGACTGCACGATCCCTCCAGAAAGATCTGGCAGACACTGGAGTTGTGGTACACTATTCCACTATAAAGGGATACTTGTACAAATATGGTCTTCATGGAAGAGTCATCAGAAGAAAACCTCTTCTACGTCCTCACCACAAAAATCATCGTTTGAACTTTGCAAATGAACATATAGACAAGCCTGATGCATTTTGGAAACGAGTTCTGTGGACCGATGAGATTAAAATTGAACTTTTTGGCCGGAATGAGCAAAGGTACGTTTGGAGAAGAAGGGGCACAGAATTTAATGAAAAGAACTTCTGTCCAACTGATAAGCATGGGGTTGGATCAATCATGCTTTGGGGCTGTGTTGCAGCCAGTGGCACAGGGAACAGCCAGTTGCAGCCAGTGGCACAGGAAAAATGGATTCAATAAAATTTCAGCAAATTTTGGATGGTAACTTGATGCCATCTGTGAAAAAGCTGAAGTTAGAGAGGATGGCTTCTACAAATGGATAATGATCCTAAACACACCTCGAAATCCACAGGGGATTACATCAAGAGGTGTAAACTGAAGGTTTTGTCATGGCCTTCACAATCTCCTGACCTCAACATAATTGAAAATCTATGGATAGACCTTAAAAGAGCAGTGCGTGACAGACAGCCCAGAAATCTCAAAGAACTGGAAGACTTTTGTAAGGAAGAATGGGCAAAGATACCTCCAACAAGAACTGAAAGACTCTTGGCTGGCTACAAAAAGTGTGATACTTGCCAAAGGGGGCAGTACAAGATATTAACTCTGCAGGGTGCCCAAACTTTTGCAGATGCCATTTTTTTGTTTTCTGTTATTTTGAAAGTGTAAATGATGGAAATAAAATCTAACTTTTGTTGACATATTATAAGAATGTCTAAATCTGTAATTTGATGCCTTTTGGAGATTGTGTGTGTGTGTGTATGTGTGTGTGTGTATATATAGATATATGCACACCGTATCTCACAGAAGTGAATACACCCCTCATATTTTGTGTAAATGTTTTATTATATCTTTTCATGTGACAACACTGAAGAAATGACACTTTGCTACATAGTAAAGTAGTGAGTGTACAGCTTATATAACAGTGTAAATTTGCTGTCCCCTCAAAATAACTCAAAACACAGCCATTAATGTCTAAATCACTGGCAACAAAAGTGAGTACAACCCCTAAGTGAAAATGTCCAAAGTGTGAATATTTTGTGTGACCACCATTATTTTCCAGCACTGTCTTAACCCTCTTGGGCATGGAGTTTACCAGAGCTTTACAGTTTGCCACTGGAGTCCTCCTCCATGACAACATCATGGAGCTGGTGGATGTTCGAGACCTTGCGCTCCTCCACCTTACATTTGAGGATGCCTCAGCGATGCTCAATAGGGTTTAGGTCTGGAGACATGCTTGGCCAGTCCATCACCTTTACCCTCAGCTTCTTTAGCAAGGCCGTGGTCGTCTTGGAGGTGTGTTTGGGTCGTTATCATGTTGGAATATTGCCCTGTGGCCCTGTCTTGGCAGGGAGAGGATCATGCTCTGCTTCAGTATGTCACAGTACATATTAGCATTCATGGTTCTCTCAATGAGCTGTAACTCCCCAGTTCCGGCAGCACTCATGTAGTCCTAGACCAGTGGTCGGCAAGCCGCGGCTCGCGAGCCACATGCGGCTCTTTACACATTTTAATGCGGCTCTTCTGTGGGCCGGGCGCCCGCTCCCCCCCTCCCTCCTCTCGGGCGGCCGCCCCAAAAGTCAGGACTCTGCAGCTAGCCCAGCAATGGGCAAACTACGGCCCGGCGGACCTTTTAATCCCGCGGAGCGTGGCAAACATTGGCTGTCAGGATGTAGGCGGGGCAGTGTGATGAACTCCTTTCCTCTCACAGTCCGCCCTGAAGACCGGACCGGCGCGGGAACACGGCGAGAGGAACGCGCGGAGCAAAGGTAAGTGAATTGACACAAAATGGGGAGTGAATTACTATAGGGGGGATGAATTACTATATGGGGGATGAATTACTATATGGGGGATGAATTACTATGGGGGATGAATTACTATATGGGGGATGTATTTTCAGTTTTAAAAATGTGGCTCTCAAAATAAATTTCAATCGTGGTTTTGGCGAGATTTGGCTCAGTTGAAAAAAAAGGTTGCCCACCACTGTCCTAGACCATGACACTCCCACCATCATGCTTGACTGTAGGCAAGACACACTTGTCTTTGTACTCCTCACCTGGTTGCTGCCACACACGCTTAACACCATCTGAACCAAATAAGTTTATCTGGTCTCATCAGACCGCAGGACATGGTTCCAGTAATCCATGTCCTTAGTCTGCTTGTCTTCAGCAAACTGTTTTGTGGGCTTTCTTATGCATCATCTTTAGAAGAGGATTCCTTCTGGGATGACAGCCATGCAGACCAATTTGATGCAGTGTGCGGCGTATGGTCTGAGCACTGACAGGCTGACCCCACACCCCTTCGACCTCTGTAGCAATGTTGGCAGCACTCATATGCCTATTTCCCAAAGACAAACTGGATATGACGCTGAGCATGTGCACTCAACTTCTTTGGTCAACCATGGCGAGGCCTGTCCTGTTAAACCAGTGTATGGTCTTGGGCACCATGCTGCAGCTCAGTTTCAGGGTCTTGGCAATCTTCTTATAGCCTAGGCCAGTGATGGCGAACCTTTTTGAGCCCGAGTGCCCAAACTGCAACCCAAAACCAACTTATTTCTTTCAAAGTGCCAACACTGCAATGAAACCTGAATATCGAGCTTTTGGTTTAGAAAAAACAACTCGTACAGTAGTGCAAACTAATTAACAGTACAGGGATGACCAGAGACTGCGGACACAGTACAGGGATGACCAGAGACTGCGGACAGTACAGGGATGACCAGAGACTGCGGACAGTACAGGAGATGACCAGAGACTGCGGACAGTACAGGAGATGACCAGAGACTGCGGACACAGTACAGGAGATGACCAGAGACTGCGGACACAGTACAGGAGATGACCAGAGACTGCGAACAGTACAGAAGAAGATGACCAGAGACTGCGGACAGTACAGGAGATGACCAGAGACTGCGGACAGTACAGGGATGACCAGAGACTGCGGACACAATACAGGGATGACCAGAGACTGCGGACAGTACAGGGATGACCAGAGACTGCGGACACAGTACAGGAGATGACCAGAGACTGCGGACAGTACAGGAGATGACCAGAGACTGCGGACACAGTATAGGAGATGACCAGAGACTGCGGACACAGTACAGGAGATGACCAGAGACTGCGAACAGTACAGAAGATGACCAGAGACTGCGGACACAGTACAGGGATGACCAGAGACTGCGGACAGTACAGGGATGACCAGAGACTGCGGACACAGTACAGGAGATGACCAGAGACTGCGGACACAGTACAGGGATGACCAGTGACTGCGGACAGTACAGGGATGACCAGAGACTGCGGAAAGTACAGGGATGACCAGAGACTGCGGACACAGTACAGGAGATGACCAGAGACTGCTGACACAGTACAGGAGATGACCAGAGACTGCTGACACAGTACAGGAGATGACCAGAGACTGCTGACACAGTACAGGAGATGACCAGAGACTGCTGACACAGTACAGGAGATGACCAGAGACTGCGGACAGCACGGGGATGACCAGAGACTGCGGACACAGTACGGGGATGACCAGAGACTGCGGACAGCACGGGGATGACCAGAGACTGCGGACAGCACGGGGATGACCAGAGACTGCGGACAGCACAGGGATGACCAGAGACTGCGGACAGTACAGAGATGACTGCTGACCTTTGGGGAGGTGGGGAGTGGGTACCTGAATTTGACAGGTACCCGCTCTTACTTCCGCAGAGTTTTTTTTTTTTTTTTATCTTACCTGTTCCTTTATCCAGCCGCGCGTTGTCTTCCCGGCTTCTGTAGTGTGGGCGCTCGTCGGACAGCCGGATGCCCAGTGCGCATGCGCGAGAAGCGCTGCGCTTTGTGATTGGTCCGGCGGCTTCTGGGATCTGTCATGTGTCCCAGGTACCGCCTTACCATTCACAAAGAGCACTGCTTCTTGTGCATGCGCACTTGGGACCCGGCTGTCACGCACACTACAGCCGGGAAGACAGCGCGCCGCTGGATTCTCCTGGCGTGCCCACAGATAAGGCTCGGCGTGCCGGCTGTGGCACGCGTGCCACGGGTTTGCCATCACTGGCCTAGGCCATCTTTTTGTAGATCAACAATTCTTTTTTTTCAGATCCTCAGAGAGTTATTTGCCATGAGGTGCCATGTTGAACTTCCAGTGACCAGTATGAGAGCGTGAGAGCGATAACACCAAATTTAAACCACCTGCTCCCCATTCACAGCTGAGACCTTGTAACACTAACGAGTCACATGACACCAGGGAGGGAAAAGCGCTAATTGGGCCCAATTTGTACATTTTCACTTAGGGGTGTACTGTCAAGGTCCTACCTTTCCTCAGGGCTTGTGCTGCTCCATGTGCTGGCATCCATCTTAGGTGTCTGCAAAGCATTGTGGGATCATTTATGCTTTCAGCCCTCTGTGGCTCCTCCCAGGAGGTGGCAGCTTATCACATTTAAGTCTGCTGTTTGTAGCTGTCCATTGCATTCGTGTCCTGTCTGTTGCACAGCAGCAAGCTCCTGTTCTGTTCACTCATTGCTCTCCTGGATACCTACTCGGCTTTGGCAAAGACTCCTCCTGGCTTCTGACCACGACTCTGGCGACCATTCCTTCTGGCTACTGATCCCGGTTCTGGCGACCATTCTTCCTGGCTTCTGACCCCGGCTTTGGCTACGATTCCCGCTGGTTCTCGACTTGATTATCCTGGAAGATGACCTCGGCAGGAGAACTTCTGTCCTACCAAGTAATTCGCTGTTGCTGTCGGACTTGCATAGACTCTTGCCTTGTTTCTGTGTAAATAAACCTACCTTTAATTGCACCTCCTTGTGTATCTGGCTCCTTGCTCCCTGACATGTACTCACTTTTGTTGCCAGCGGTTTGGACAATAATGGGAAGAGAGGGGAGGGGTGGGGGGGAAGGGTGGAAGAAAAAGAGGAAGGGGTGAAAGAAATGGAAGGAGGGGTGGGAAGGGGGGGGGGGGGGGAATGGGAAGGAGGGGGGAGGGGGGTGAAAGAGGGGGGGGGGGGGCGGGGGGGGGGGGTGGGGGGGGGGGGGGGGGGGGGAAGGGGGGGGTGGGGGGGAGGGGGGATGGAAGGGAGCTGTGAAAGGGATGGAGGGGGGGGGGGGGGAAAGGGGGGGGGGGGGGGGGGGAAGGGGGGGGGGGGGGGGTGGAGGGGGGGAGGGGGGGGGGGGGGGGGGGGGGGGGGGGGAAGGGGGGAAGGGGGGGGGGGTGGGAAAGAAGAAAGGGAGGTGGGAAATGGGGGAAAGGGATGGAGGGGGGAAAGGAAGGGAAAAAGGGAGGGGGGGGGTGAAGGGAGGGGGGAAGGAGGGGGGGGGGGGGGGGGGGGGGGGGGGGGAAGGGAGGGAGGGGGGAAGGGGGGAAGGAAGGGAGGGGGGGGGTGGGAAAGAAGAGAGGGGGTGTGGAAGGGAGGGGGGGGAAAGAAGAAAGGGAGGGGGGAGGGAGGGGGGGGATTGAGGGAGGGAGGGTGAAAGGGGAGGGGTGGGATTGAGGGAGGAGTGAAAGGGGGGAGAGGGGGGGGGATGAGGGAGGGATGGGGGGGAGGAAGGGGGGAGTGGGGGGGGGGGATGGGAGGGAGGGTGAAGGGAGAGGGGGGGGATTTAGGGGGGGGGGGGAGGAGGGGGGGGGGGAGGGGGGGGGGGAGAAGGTGAAAGGGGGGGAGGGGGGGGGGAGAAGGAAGAGAGGGGGGAAGGGGGGGGGGGGGGGGAGAGGGAAGGGGAAAAAAAAAGGAAGGGAGGGGGGGGGTGAGGAAGGGGGAGAGGGGATAAGGGAGGGGGGGGGAAGAGAGGGGGGGGGGGGGGGAGAGGAGGGAGGGAAGGGGGGGGGGGAGGGGGGGGGGGAAGGGGGGGAGGGTTGGGAAAGAAGAGAGGGGGGGGGGGGGGGGGGGGGGGAGAGGGGGGGGGGGGGGGGAGGGTGAAAGGGGGGGGGGGGGAGAGGGGGAGAGGGGGGGGGGGGGGGGGGGGGGGGGGGGTGGGGAGGAAGAGGGGGAGGGAACAGTGGAATAAAGAGAGGGGGGGGGATTAAAAAAAAGGAAGGGGGGGGGGGGGAAAGGGGGGAGGGATGGGGAAAGGAGGGGGGAAGGGGGGAATAATGAGGGGAAGGGTTGAAAAAGGAATGGGGGGGTGGGAAGGTAGGTGGAAGGGGGGGTGGGGGAGAATGGGGGGGAAGGGGGGGGGGGGGGGGGGGGGGGAGGTATGGAAGGGGGGGGGGGGGGGTGGAGGGAGGGGGGGGGGGGGGGGGGGGGAGAGGGGGGGGGGGGGGGGGAGGGGTGGGGGGGAAGGGGGGGGGAGGGTGGGGGGGGGAGGGGGGGGGGGGGGGGAAGGGGGTAGAGAGGGGGGGTGGGGGGAGGGGAGGGGGGTGGGGGGAGGGGGGGGGGGGAGGGGTGGGATGGGGGGGGGGGGGGGGAGGTAGGGGGGGGGGGGGGGTGTGGGAAGGGGGGGGGGGTGGAAGGGAGAGGGGGGGGGTAGGGGGGATGGGGGGTGGGGAAGGAAGGGGGGGGGGAGGTTGGGGGGGGGGGGGGGGGGGGGGGAGGGGGGGGGGGGGGGGAGGGGGGGGGGGGGTGGGGAAGCAAGGGTGGAAGGAAGGGGGGGAGGGGGGGGGGGGGGATGTGGGGGGGGGGGGGGGGGGGGGGGGAGGGGGGTGGGGGGGAAGGTGGGAGGCTGAAAGGGGGGGGGGGTGTGGGGGGGAAAGGGTAGGGGGAAGAGAGGGAAGGGTGGAAGGAAGAGAGGAGAGGGTGGAAGGGAAGAGGGGGAGCGCTTGGAAGGAAGAGTGGAAGAAATAGAGGGAAGGGGGGAGGGAGAGGGAGGGAGGTGTGGGGGAGGAGGGAAGGGAGGGAGGTGTGGGAAGAAAAGGTGGGGAGCACACAGCGGGGGGCCCAGAAAGAAAATGGAACGATCAGAGGTGGTCGGTGCGGCAGTGTGGGGGCAGTGACAAGCAGCGATCTCCTGTATGACTTTCCATGAAGCAGCTGGAAGTCGCCTCTTCTCCCTCCCACAGCTTCCAGCTGCTTCATTGAAAGTCATTCAGGAGATCGCTGCTTGCACTGCCTCCACCGCTGCCCCTCCCACACACTCCTAGTCCCGGCACTGTTCGCCCCCACCTTATTTCCACTCTCCCAATGCACTCAGTGTATATATATATATATATATATATATATATATACATACAGTTGTGTTCAAAATAATAGCAGTCAGACATCACTAACCTGATCAATCACTGTTTTTGGTAGAAATGATATTTCTACATGGCAAATAATTTTACTAGCAGGTGTAGTAGAGTAATAGAAATCCAACAGACCCAACAGTCATGACATGCATGCTGCTGATTCTGTGTAATTGAATCACTAATTGAAAGGGGCATGTTCAAAATAATAGCAGTGTGGAATTCTATTAGTGAGGTCATTCATTCTTTGAAAAACAGGTGGCAATTATTGCCCTTATTTAAGAAGGAAGGCAGCAAATGGTGTACATGCTGGTTACAGTGCATTTCTCTC